CACGCTGACATGTCAAACTTAAAACAGAAAAAAAACTAATAACCTTGATCTGGCAGTAGTTCCTGATACAGGCAGAAGAGCATTCCAAAAAAAATATAATTGAAACTGAAATGATCGTTTATGGCATATTAGGCGTCATCAGCCGGCCGTATCAAACTCCAAGGTTTGCAAGCCTTGATATTCGAGCTCATATCTAGCTGGCTGAAAACCCAAAAGCCTGGTAGTTGAGCAATTAAATCACTGTCCCGTCAGTTTAAATCAGGTATGTAGACGATCGTATAGGGGCGTTTATCGGTCTCGTTTTTCTAAGGAGCGCACTCTCGGGCCCAATAGCGGCTGCACAACTGGCTGGCGTATGACGTCGTCAAGCCAGAAATAACCCCTTCAGTCCTCTTCCTTTTTTGGTAATTTTATTCGATTTAAAATAGAAGATTGGGCAACCGTTATACTGAACGGAAGAAGGAACATTGCAACACCTATTTCTGGTTAATCTGACACTATTATGAAATGCACTTTTCACAACTGCCTGGAAGATCAGATTATGTAAATAAGAGTACAACTACCAAACAGATTAGGCCAAGTGGGAATGGACAAAATCTAATTTCTGTCATTCTGTCATGCTTTTGAATGACAAAATGGGGGGCATTTATCTAATATCCTGTTAAACTCGTATTAACCAATTCACCTTTTACACCAAAAATACGCGTGAGGAATGCAGTCGACATTTATTCGCTAGTGAATGGATAAGTGAATCATGAGTAACACTAATCTGTCTTCCTGCATTGAAAATTGAAAGGTTTGCTGCCATTTGTCGTCCACAGCATGTTCATACTCCTCAGCGCATTTCCCAGCTTTTGAATTCCCTTACAACGTCGATTTGTGTCTGGTAGAAATTCGTGAATTCTGTATTTAAAATCCGTAAATACTTAAGTTAAGACGTAAGTCACCTTAGTCGTTAGGGAGAACGGCCCTGTTAAATCACCTTCCAACATATGCTTGAACCTAACCTCTAGGCACTGGGCCTGGAGAAGAATAATAATGTTAAACAATTTCCCTTTATAGTTTACTGAAACAAACCACGTTTAGCAACATACCTCAAATTTTAGCTTGAAAAACTTCCGGCCAGTGCAGTAGATTTTAATTGAAAGTTGGGTGATGAAGAGACAGAGAATGCCAATGCTGATGAAGTGCAGTATGCAGGCGATTGTGTGAAAAAAGTGGCAGTTGTGGACGCCCTCATGAGCGTCAAGTAGGTGGGCCCCAAAATGGGACGTTGCCTCCGTGCAGCAGGATAATCGACTACACTGCGTTTGCAGCAGATAGTCATGCTGTGTCTCACTGAAGAAGACTCGATAAAGATCCGAACTGTTGTAATGGCAGTTGGCCAAAGGGTTCGCACGACAACAAAAGGAATAGTCACCATTGAGCGCTGTCAAATTAATGGAGGTTAAATTTTCCGCATCAGGTAAACAACAGTGTTGAATGTGCAGGGTTGGTTCTTTTTGACAGTAGTACTCAGACTGCTGCTGAGAAAGTAACTCGTGTTCTAGGGATTTCTTTTCGGCTAGAATTAAAAGAAGGAAGACAAGGATCTTCAAGCAAAAGAACCGTGTACTATAAATGGATTGTTACGTTTTTTGCGTAATACAGTCAGCAAGCGAGCTCTGAACTAGCTTCTAGCTGCGCGTTTTCTACTAATCCACCCAACAATAAACCACTTATGCCAAAGCATGATAAAATTGTGGTAAGAAAATAACGGAGCAAAACATACAGCGAAATATTTTAGAACCACCATATAGAAAATATTTTTAAATACAAAAGACGATATAAAAGTTTCATAATTATATATTTGCTGACAAAAACGTCATGCATAGTTTTGTTATTTTACGAGCCTATAATGAGGTACTTGTTATGTTTACTTCTATTTCGGGGACATGAATAATCATAATAGGTTTCGCTTCCTGTCCGGATTTGCGTATTTTTTTGAATTTCCACCTGCCTCGTTTTCTTTCCACAGCTTTGCCCAGACATGTGAACTTATCATTTTTTAATGCAAAGTTCTTTGCACGAATGCACAAAACTCTTTCATCTCTCCTCGGGAAGTCCAAGTATAGTTAATCTGTTGTGTCTTTTGGAAGGTGAATATACTGATGACGCTACAACCACTGTTTACAAGTACATAGTTATTATACCGTATACTAGCAGAAATTGCGTTTTTGTTTAGCTGAAAGGTGACATTAAGTGCTGAGTTGAATAACCAGAAAGTATGCCTGTAGACTGGAAAAATTCGTCAGGTTTTCAATAATACCCGGTAGTCCAATAAAATACTTAGTGCTGGGAGCACATGTGTAATACAACATGGTTTTGCACTCACAATCTTCTGCGTTATTTTAGAGCTTTAAAATCACCTCCGCCTGCTGCAAATTTTTGCAAACTTTGTATACGAATATGTACAATCACACATAAGATTGAGTTAAAAGTACTGATCCAATTGGTCAACCTACCTACGTTTTGTTTCTAGAATACTCATTTCTCCCGAGCACGCAAATGAGAGATAACTTAAACTGATATGTAATATCGCCTTGGACCCCTAGGTATAAGAGGTAACCCTGAACTGAATCCCAAGACAGTAACTTATCTTATGTTTTAAATCTAAATCAACTCTTAGCATTATAAATATGTGTAAACCTAACCATATACTTAACCATAAGTCCAGCTTTAAATCTACCGATAACCTTAACACTATCCTCCATCTAAAAATAGCCCAAGGCCGCCCATCATAAGGTAAAGCACTCCCTTTTGTGTACCAATAAACAATATGCCTACGTTCAGGAGTTATTTAGTTGCATTTAAAAATACATTTAATCAAGCTTTCTTATTAAATGACAGGGATAAACTTTGTGCTTTTTAACTTTGTCAGATCCGTTGCTAACCAAATATGTAATTGTAAAAATTAAGCTCGATTAGTTAAAATAGCAGCTTGGAAGTCAACGCGAAATTCTATCAACGTGAAACTGCCATAACTTACGTCCTTTTTTGGAAATCTATACAGCTGAATAAACAAAAGATATTTTTGTGCTGACGTTGGGAGAGTATAGTTAATGTACTCAAATGCATTAAGCAGCCAAACGCAACCGTATATTCAACTTAACCATTTCTGTTGTGTCAGAATTTATCATTATTTCAGTTAACTTATTTAAATCTAACTGGACTGTCAAAACTTGAAAAAGCTTGTGTTCACATGTAGGGAAAAAACACATATATACCTTTCACTGCGTGTATTTCAAGAATAATCTCAGCGGTAACTATGAGGGCATCAATGAGTACCAATGAGCACATCAAGAGTTGCGTAATTGGTCCCTGAATAATTTTCAACAACCGCCTTCTCATTTTTCTGTAAAGAACAAGAAGGAAAATGGTCAGATGGCGATGAAGTAATCACTATTTTATAACAAAAAGGGCACATCTTACCCTTTAGATGCCCTCTTTTTAATGTGTACGAGTTCCTGTTGAACGAGTGAGAAGTCGATATTGTCCTTTTGCATCTGACGACAAAAGCGCCGGCTGGATATCCATCCAGGGTAGAGTGTGTATCTGTAAATGATACGTCTTCTTTTATTAAAAGCGTCGGGTATGCTTAAATGAAATACATTTTCAGCATTTTAAGGCCTTATTCCATAACAAAGGAAGTCCTGGGAGATAAAGTGCACAATAGAACAAGTTGGGCAGTAAAAACCATTTAGTATGTCGCAAAGCACGGAAAAAGCGTTTTTGGTCATCTACAGCACAAAACTGCAGTCACAGTATGGCGTAGTTTTAAGAAATGTTCCGCTTTTAGTGCCCAATACCACTTAAATGAAGGCCTTCGGTTCAAATCATTATAAGAGTAGGTTTTAATGTCCTCCTCAGACGAAAAATACCTAAACGCCTGTTTAAGATATTCAATGTTCACAAGTTTGCCTTTTTAAATAAAGACCATGAAATGAAACATTGCATCTGGAAGGCCGCGAAATATAGCGTTTGCACAGGATTAATAAATTACGTTATGTTATCTAAATATATATCTATTCTGTAGTTAACGCATCGCTTTGGTTTTGTAACTTTAACCACAGAATAGATGCCCAAGTTAAACGCTAGGAATGACATGCAGGATGACATACATTTGTTCCTGAAGATGGCTTTCGTAAAACGTTCTTTTCGGCAAAATAACAGTGCTACGAAAATAACTGTTTTACCATGCTCTTTAATTACATAAAGTCGCCGTAATCTGCGCTGACTCTAAAATGTCAGAATTTGTAGTGGGCTTTCGTCCAATGCCAAAACAAACAGCACTCTATGCTCTAAACTTCCCTGCACTACAGAAACCGTCGTTACTCGTTTGTTGCGCTGTTTACTGCAATGCTGCTTAAGTTTAACGCGAGTAGTACATGATAGTATCTCTTAATATAATAAACTCTAGACTGCTACCTGTAAGATAGGGCTCCAGCTTGTCCGGGTTTTCGACCACACATTGGAACCACAAACGATTCCACTCCTTTCCTCATGATCAGATTTCGTAAACAGGAAAATATAGCAGGCGTAGCCAATTCGAAAGCTGAACGAGATATAAATTAGTACAGAATTCCAAACGAGATGGTTAAGCTTTGAAGTTGTAAGCGATCGCCAAAATGCCTTTCATAGGAAAATAATTCACTTTAGCTGTTGTGGTGACGTGCGGCTACAGAGCTAGTAGACCACAGCCAACCATTTTCAAGGAGAGAGGAAAACATGAATGAGGCACTGCTTTCGTACTTAGGAAAGCATCTGTGCGCAATCTGATTGGCCAATCTCTGTCTTCGGAATGCGACGAAAAAATACTACCAGACACAAGAAGAATCGTGCAGGATGTGTCTGGGCAACCTTAGTAGTTCAGATGGGCAACTTGAACCTCTCTTACTTGATATATAAAAGCAATTGAACCGAAGACACGGAAATGGTCTTAGCAGTCGGCAGAATTCAATTTGCAACTCCTTTATAAGGAAGTTAAATAAGTACAGTAAGGCAGTAGGTGCAGACGTTGGTGCAACTTACCGAGAGAGCAAGATGGTATAAGTTGGTTAAAAAGGAATTTCCTCGAGTTACACAATTTTTCTCGTAAATAAATTAACAAACCAGGAAGAACTAAACAGTGACTCAGATTCCCTCGACACCAATTAAATTAACTGATATATCGTAGAGTGTACCTAGTACCTTGAAGAAATTTGGTTCTGTAAAGTTATTTATTTATTTAAAAACTACGGTTTGGATTGAAATATCATTTTATCCATCTGCCCTCATCATGTGACAAACGTGGTGGTGAATGGAGCCCGGAGTATAACTGGTAACTCCAGGCTTAATCGGTCGCTATGAGCTGTATTTATTGGCTTACTAATTAAGGACTGTACCGGGAAGGTAGCTTATAGTCACTAGAAACGTTCGTATAGCACACGTAATCTTTCTACTGTGGAAGACATTCATTCTATCAAGACCAATTTCGTTAGCTTTAAATTTCGTTTTCTATCCCCCTACCTTAGGTTAGGTAAAATGGAAATGATAAAGATATATTGAGGAAAAGCAAAGGCTTATATCACTCAAAATTTCATCTGCAGCTCCGTAGAAGGTTTTTCTCCACACCAGACTGCTGCCCTCCCCATAACTCAGAACATGTATACCTATCTCAGGTAAAACTGGGCGACAAGAAAGGAGTACACGGTCAAATTACCGTCCAGAGGTATTGTAAACTAGTTTGGTTTGTCAGTTCAAAAATAGGACTTATTAGAAACGATGTAGCAGTACGTGATCTGTAATTATGGTTATATTTGTTAGATCATCATAATGAAATAAAATTCCATTTTATGACTATAGGCAGGCAAAGAGATATGGTTAATCTAGCCAAGCGAGACAACGGTGTCTAACTAGAAACAAACGATTTCCCTAAACGTTGCCAGACTGCATACGCAAGATTAATGGACCTTTTGCTCTTTATTTGAGCATCAGCATTCATTTAGTATATATTTAGCAGCATGTTTTCTTTTATATAATATTATTTGCAACATAAGCCTGGACTTTTATTGTTTTATGTTACTGCGGTTTGCACATCGACAGAATGTGCATATTACGCGGTTATCCCACAGTATATGGCGGAGTTCGGCCTAAATATATGCACCAAATGTTGTTCTGTGCCTAATGAACTTAGATATAATGATCTATACCTAAAAAATAAATAAATTTCTAATGAAATTTAAAAGCTGAACTTTCAGAACCGACATATCAACCAGAAAGCAAATAAGGAAAACTGGGAGACCCACTGATGAGCCAGACCCCTTGCAGCAATGTCATTATGAGAAATAATACCGCCTTTGCACGTGCTTGGGTATTTAGTTAGTATCTGGCCTGTTAGTATGGTAAGAGATAGCAGCAACTGATACTCTATTGTACAAACAGAAAACAGCAGGCAACTGCAAAAAGGATTTCAATAGTACATCATATCTGTATGACCTTCCACTGAGTCTCTCATTGTCCAGAATTTGACGGCAATAACCTACAGAAAGAAAGTCACCTGCTGACTAAATAACAATATTACAATTGCAGTCTACGCCTGTAGACTTTAAATATACTGATATATACCGCGAGCAGAAATTAATTTCTCGGGAGATTAAAAAACTGAACATTCAAAGCTGGTATATCAACCAGAAAGCAGACAGGGAAAGCTGGGGGACCCACTGATGAGC